AAACATATATACAGTATATATATATATATATATATATATATATGTTACTTAAAATTACTATAACATTACTTAAATCATGTGGTATAACCATCAAGAAAAGTATTTTACATATTTTCCTTACACCTTAAATGCATGCGAGTAATAATTATAATTTGACTTTTGACAACCAAACTTTCTGCCTTGTCAAATTATCTGATATTTTGAAGAAACTTAAATGTTAAGCAAGTCTACATGGGTCATCGCTGTGATTATTATTTCTTTTTTTTTTTAATGGTTTTCTTGTCTTGTCTTGGTAACATGATGTTTACACCAATTATAATATATTTTATTAATAATATAAAATAATTTTAAATAAAATTGTCTTACTGCTTTTTAAGAAATAATAAAGATTATTATTATTATTTAATTTTTTTTATTTTAGAGACATTTTTTTACATCAAAAAAATCAACATTTGGAAATGGAACAGATGTCCATCATACAAGAGGTGTATTCAGATCAATATATTTGAAAGAAAATGAACCTATGTCATTGACCCTATAATGTATTACAGGCAAACGCATTACGCTGTGTCTTGTGTCACTTCAAGAATGTCTCCAACCAATTATATTCTTAGAGCAAGGACAGCCTACATTTTATGTTATAGACTGGACAACAACCACTCTAAGTCTTCCGGGTTCTCACACTTGAGGGACAGGAGTTTTATTTCCTCCATAAAAAAGGAGATGTTAGGCATGTAGCTGTTAGAGGTGTCATAAAAGGAAGGATTACTCAGGAGGGAGAGAAGTGCTTAGGTAAGGGTTAAAAGGGAACACGACATCAGAGAAAAAGGAAATTGAGGCTCCCCTTTCAATAGGCAGCTTCCATTCCCACTTCCTTAAATCCTCAGACTGGTTAATAATGCATTCACACACGCACACACACACACATCCAGATGCACAGGACACACAGGAACAGATTATGGAGCCAACGCACTTTACAAGTCTGCAAAGGTTTGGGCGAAAAAGAGGAGATAAGTTAAGTGTTATGTGATTATGCTTTCCATCCCGCTCTAACTGCTAAAAAAAAAAAAGCATGGCATTCGTACGACGACCTTTAGTTCAGCGGATCACAGCCGACCTGGAGAGGAGCGCAAAAAAAGTCACGTCACAAATCGAGGTCACCGAAAAACACTTGAATGCCAGGCATTGATGCACAAACAGAGGGATGGCGGAGAAAAGGAAGTGAAAATGTAGAGGACAGCGAATGAGGAGGAACCGTGATCAAACGGGAAAGAAAAGCAAACTCAAAACATAAGAAGCTGATGGTCTCACGTTCAAAGTCAAGGAAAACTATTGGGCCATGCTCAAGTTCGGTGCAAGCCAGCAGTTTCAGGAGATTTCCCATGATCCCCCTGGAACAGAGAGAAGGGAGAAGCGTGTGGGTCATGGGAGATGTGGCAGACGTGTGTCTGGTGTTGGGTGTGTGTTCGTGTGAATGTGCGTGGAGTCTGGGATGGGGGTCGGGGCGTATAGGGTGTGGGATGGACTTTAGGTGTCGAGATTCTCGGGCGATGTTGATATGGTCACATGGTTACACTGAAACTCCTTCTTGCTGCTCTCTTTCTATGCATAAATGGAAACGAGTGAACACAATCGTGAAGAGAGCAAAAAGAAACAGTTTCCAAAAGCAAAAAAAAACTTCAGTCTGTCTTAATCCACCTAGAGGATGCATCTACACCTGCTCCAACCCTGATAGCTCCATCTCCAATCACACACACATACACACATCCGAGCACACGTACACACACCGTACACCAGCGAAAAACTTACTTTCAAAATCCAGGAAAAAATGAGGACAGTTCTCTAAATCCTTGCCAAGGACCTTAATGAGGTTCCCCATGGCTGGCAAACCTGGGCAAGGAAGACAAATACATACAGTACAAAGGAATACAACCTAGATGATACATTTTCACTGCAAAAACTTTTGTCATATGCTGTGGTAAGAGCCAGACTGTGCATTGCATAAAGCTGAAAAATGCTGCTAGTTTTTTCATAGGGTAGACTGTAATAGAAGAGGCTGTTTGTGTCTGAAATAATTCAACAAAATAATCCTTCTGACAAAGTGCTGTAACACTGCTGTAATACAGTGCTTGTTATGGGGACAGAAAAAAGTTATTTTTTTTAATCAATTTTCCTTTCTTTTCTTAATTATGGCAGTGTGGTAAAAAAAATAATGCATGCCTTTAAAGATGTGAATATTATGTTGTTTGTTGCAATGCAGCATTTGAATATAATACAGGAAAAGAGCAGTAATAAAAAAAAGAGATCATGACACAAACCGCACAAGCAGGAACAAACACCTTTTGGTGGTGATCTAGCATCGTGTGACTTGAGATGTACAGTAACTTAATATAATGGCATGGTAATAGTAAATTAACTCACATTAACCCTGTGTGGTAGCACATAGCTGAGGTCTGCCTGTCCTAACCAGCTGTGACTCAACGTTTATAGCAAATCTGACTGTCCATACTGAAAGCGAAAATGCTTATGTGACATGACACATTTATAGATAATCAGTCATTGTGAAGTATGATTTTGGACCAATGAGATTTCACCATGGGCGGGGCTAACCAGCTCAACATAACATAAACAGAAACTGTGATTGACAAAAACTCTGATTTGCTTAGAATAAATGTTTTTGCTGCTTGTTGCTTTATTGCATTGCATTTGGTTAGAATATAATGTTGTACCGTCAACATAACCATTTTGTTTGTTAAATCAGTTTGCATGCATTAAATATCAACTGCAGTTGGCAACGGACACCAAATGGTAACAAATAAAAGCTTGCAATAGAGGAACAATTCTGGACAGACTAGTATATAGAAACATTCAAGAAATAAAATAGCTAGATTATCGTGGCACTGATGATAACACAAAACCTATCATGGCATTTCCCAAGAGACACAAATGCGCATATTGGCAGTGTTCGAAATAAGAATCTGGCTGTTACATATCTAGGCTTTTAAATCTTTCATATCAAGCCATATCCTTCGCTTATGGCACACAACGCAAAGATGGCTCCTCTCAGCCTGTTTATCACTTAAGAGGCAATATATCCCGCTCTGCCTGTCTCCTGGCAACCACTAGTAGAGCCCTGTTTCCATGACTGGACCACATCGCCTCTCCCGCCTGTACTCTCTCTCTGTCTGAAGCTTTCATCATCAAAATCACCAGCCAAATCCTAGTCTAAAGTATATAACAGTCTTTCTGTCTGCCTATATGTCTGTCTCTCTGTCTGAATCTGTCTGTCTGTCTGTCTGTCTCTATCTGTCTGTCTGTCTGTCTGTCTCTGTCTCTGTCTGTCTCTCTGTCTGTCTCTGTCTGTCTCTATCTGTCTGTCTGTCTCTATCTGTTTGTTTGTTTGTTTGTCTGTCTGTCTGTATGTCTCTATCTATCTGTCTGTCTGTCTGTCTGTCTGTCTGTCTGTATCTGTCTGTCTGTCTGTCTGTCTGTCTCTATATGTCTGTCTGTCTGTCTGTCTCTTATCTTTCTGTCTCTATCTGTCTGTCTGTCTCTATCTATCTGTCTCTGTCTGTCTGTCTCTATCTGTCTGTCTGTCTATCTATCTATCTATCTATCTATCTATCTATCTATCTATCTATCTATATAGTGTTATCTCTTGTGCCTCATTCCAACAGAAGCTCTCACGTAAACCTCAGATCCATCAATCTTTTGTCTCCCCAAAGTTCTCACTGAAAAACTGAAACTGTCAACCAATAATTATTCTTCCGTATCTGTCACGTCAACAAAAAGCATACAGCTTGACACATATGACTGTCTTTTACTTACCAGCCAACAAATGTTTGCCTTCCTTCTTCCGACTTCCCTTAATAAAGCCTCACTGTGCTAGTCCTGTCAGTTTTCCACTCCTATCCGAGTCTGTTCCTCCGCTGTACTCCTCCTCCAGAGCTGTCCCTGAACCCAGCTGTGAAGAGTCCGTCTTAATGCGGCTGGTGCCGTACAGCCCCACAGGAACCCTCTCAGCCTTACCAACGGTCCCCTCTGCAGCTCTGCGTTCAACATCGCTCTGCTCTTTTCACACTTCTCTTTTTCTGACAGCTATTTAAAGGCAGGGCTTAATTTAAAAGAGCCTGGTGAAACTGTTTCTCTGTGGTACCACTATACATGTATGCTTGGTTAAGATAGGGTGAGAGGTTAAAGAACTGCTGGCTTATACTAGTGCAGGGGTTTACAGATAGCTTGAGCTCTCTAGCTGCAGTTTCCTGTGTACAAAACGTATCCTCTGCTGAATTTAGAATAACACAGTCATCGATTTGTGCTCTGAAGTAAAAAAGTACCTAATCATTTGTAGTTTTTGCTATTTTCTGGATTAAAATGATCTGTGATATCAAATTTTTTGTTTGGGCTAAAGTGAAAAAGAGGAAATTCATTAAAGCAGACTTTGTAGAAATAAATATTGAGAACAGAGCCCCAGTGTACTTAGTTATAAGGAAGTGACCCTGGTGGCAGCTTGTTGGGGACAGAAACGGTCTGTGACAGAAACTAGAGCAAAAACTTGTGCTTACACAGCAATATCACACTGTCCCTTTCTGATCCGCTCAGACTAGTCCAGATCTGACCAAGGAAATGCATATTTATTGTAATGCCACATCCAGGATGTTGCATAACTTTAACACTAAAGTTTTTGTCTCAGATCTGTTGGTTTCATTACTGCATAAAGAGATGAATGGCAGACTGCACTAAATAAGCACGGCTTCAAAGATGGAAACTAATATCTATAAATGTTTCTGCATGGCATCTGTTCATAGGCTATTTTTGATTGGAGTTGTGACTCTGCTGTTTGTGCTGAAACCGATGATAAAATCTGCGCCATCACAAAGTGGGCAGACAGAATGCAGTTGCTATCAGACACTTTTTTTTACCTTGTATTTTCACATCTTTTTCTCACGCATGGTGCCATATGGCTTGACGAATAGGGACGCATTGTTTCTGTTCCATACCTTTGCTTGCGATTTTCCACACGGAGCACTTCACTGCATCAAATGAGAGCCTGTATGTTTCTCCTGCAATATCACAGCATCAGCCTCCGCTACCTGAGAGAAAGAACGAGAAATAAAGAGATGGTCAGATTAACATGTTTCAGAAAAAAGGCTCAGAATGCGAACAACATGGCATCGCATTTTTCCTGCCAAAATCTCTCCATATGTTTTGAAATTTTGCTTAAGAGATAATTAAGCCTTTTAGGATTTTTTTTTTCTATTAATGACATTATTTTCATGACCGCTATGCAAACCTCATCAAATCCTTATTACCGTAATTTTAAAAAAGCACAAACAAATTGTATTCTTATTTCTGAGAACAAGATAGAGCAACCCATTAATGCAAAAATACATATTATACAAACTATGAAACACCTATTTTAACATTTCATAAAAAATTGAGAATAATAGGACTAATAAAGTAATTTGAAAGAAAATTGTCAGAATTAAGAAAATGTATATAATGTCTCTATAGCAGGGATCCTCAAATCTGGCCCACGAGATCCACTTCCCTGCAGAGTTTTGCTCTAACCCTAATCAAACACACCTGAGCATGCTAATCAATGTCTTCAGGATCATTAGAAAATCATAGGTGTGAGTTTGATCAGGGTTGGAGCTAAACTCTGCAGCGCATTGGCCCTCCAGGGCAAGATTTGAGGAACCCTGCTCTATAGGCTAGCAGTACTTATTTTCTTTAGGCAGTTAAATATTTGTTACCTGCACAGTGTAATAACTGGTCACTGAAACTTATATTAATTTGATCACAGATATTAATATTGGGTTATGGATGTGCTTACATACAGTGGCTTGTTTTAAAGCAGTCAGTCAGGCAGACAATATAGTGATAAACCTCTGGGGAGGGATTCATGGGATACATTCGACAGGTCACAATCTGATTCATTTCTTGAGTGGCATGGCCAGCCACCAATCTATCATCACACACACACACCCAGTATCACCCTCCAAATAAAGAGGCATGTAAACAGTTAGCTCAATGCATTATGCCGCAATGTCCCTCATAAATCTGAGGCAGTGTGCAGCATCATGCAGCACACAAAGCGACCTGCTCACTGCAGTGACTTTACACTCTAAAAAATGCTGGGTTAAATACAACCCAGTGCTGGGTAAAATAGGGACAAACCCAGCAATTAGGTTGTTTTGAACCAGCGGTTGGGTTACTACCCAGAAGGTTGGGTTGCAGTGTGCACATGCAGCACACAAAGCGACCTGCTCACTGCAGTGACTTTACACTCTAAAAAATGCTGGGTTAAATACAACCCAGTGCTGGGTAAAATAGGGACAAACCCAGCAATTAGGTTGTTTTGAACCAGCGGTTGGTTGGGT